AGGTCAGGGCAGCTGAGGAGAGACGCCTGGGCTGCGCGCGTTCTCTCAAAGACTTCTTGCCCCCCTTGCGCCGGGTCTGGAGCAGCCAGGGGCCGGCACTGCAGGGAACAAGGGCCCACCGAGGCCGCGGTGCCTGCTGGGGCTGCCCCAGCTCGGCCGGACTGCACAGCCCTGCCAAGCCTGGGACCTTCCTCTGAAGGACAGACATCGGGAGCGCACTTCGCGGGCTTGTTGGTGACACAGCATGAGTGGCATTGGGACGTGCCGGGTGCTGGGCCGAGCACAGGAAACAGCTCTTAATAAACAGCAGCAAAAGTCAGCCGGGTGTGGTGGCGCACACCTGTGGTCCCAGCTCCTCGGGGGCTGAGGCAGAAGGGGAGCCTGAACCCAGGAGGTCGAGGCTACGGTGAGCTGTGATCGTGCCACCGCACACCAGCCTGGGCAGCAGAGTGAGACCCCAAGTCCCAAAAGAATTTTAAAAATAGACAGGAGCTGCTCCCAGTACCATTGTTCTCATGGGGACGGGTGGGCACTCCTTCGTGCTCCCGGCAGAGGCTCCCTCTCCAAACCCAGGTGGTTCAGGTGCCGGACATGAGGCCCCCAGGGCCTCAAGCCCCTGCTTCCGTGTCAGCCATCCCTGGTCCCAGCCCCCGCTCTGACCGGCTTACCACACGGAAAAAGCAGACCGGTGCTGGGGACCAGGAGGGAACTCGACGGCGGTGTCTCCCATGCAGGCACCTCTACGCCACTGGCCGGGGCAGAAGACGTCCTCTCCTCGCCCAGCTGGGTGGGTTCTGTACACCCCCCACCCAGACCCTAGCAGCACACACAAGCCGCCCACTCCGCACGCACGGGGATCCGTACACCCACTCCAGCCGGCCCCAGTGAGCAGAGCAGGCCAGCCCAAGCAGCGCCAGGCCTCCCTGTGGCGGGGTGGCAGCCCAGGGCCCCCACCTGGGCCCAGCCCACGGGAGCAAGCTCCAGTCCAGGGAACAGGTGCAAACTTTGGCAAAGAGTTTTAATGGCAAAGTTGGCTGCAGCGACAATGCCACGCAGGGTGGGCGAGGAAGGGTCAGCGGGCGACAGAGCAGGGCCGGGCCCCTGCGGAAGCGCGAGCGAGGACGGGCCGTGTGGGCGGATGGGCGCTACATGATGGAGCAGGCGGACAGCGGGTTCCGCACGTGGCAGGTGCAGGCGGCCCCGCAGTACTGCCGGAAGGTCTGGTAGCAGCTGCCCTCGGGCTCGGCCCCCCACTGGCCCCCGGCCGAGGCCGCCAGCGCCTCGGGCGGCAGGCGGCTCAGGATGGACGGGTT